ATTATTATTATTTCTGAACCAAAACCTGCAACCTGGTGATGTCCGTAAGCATTGTGCATTAGGTATATCACCAGGTTGCAGGTTTTGGTTCAGAATTATTATTTATATCTCACCCCTCTGATGGGCAATCGGAGCGGCTAACAAGATTAAAGTTATTAATCTTTAATCAAGATTAAAGTACAAGATTAAACAAGATCTGTTGGGGATGCTTTGATTGGGAGTTCCTGCATGGCAGGGGGGTTGGACTAGATGGCCTCTGTGGTCTCTTCCAACTCTATGATTCTAAAAAAGAACAAAGTTAAAACAATTCCATCTCACCCCCTAAATCTCAGGGTTCGGGATGATCCTGAATTGGAGACCTCACTCGTTAATAATAATATTGGTATTTTAAATGGCACCAAATGCCACCTGAATTAAAAGATGGCATGCCCTTATACAACCCAGGCTGAGAAAATGTTTTCCAGGGAGAGCTTTTGCTCAGTCCTACAAACAGCATTGGTAGCCTTTTCAGTGGTGGCTCCTCGACTGTGGAACTCCCTTCCACTGGAGATTTCATGAAGCCCTTCCTTGATCTCTTTCCACCAGCGGCTTAAGATCTTTTTAATTTGATTTATAATTACTTGATTTTAATCACACGGCAGAATGGTGTGGGACAGTGGTATGGGTTTTCAGGTATTTCCCATGTATTTTAAACTGTTTATTGCATGTATACCCCATATTTCTCCTGCCTTTAGACTTGAGGTGGCCTAAAATAATAATAATTAATATTAATAATAACAATAAACAATAAAAATAACGATTATTATTATTATTATTATTATTATTATTATTATTATTATTATTAATAATAATTATTTGTAACCCGCCTCTCTGCATAGGAATCGGGGTGGCTTCCAGCATAAAATACAATCCAGTAATATTAGTTACTTAGAACGTACTAAAAATTAATAAGGATATATTGTATGACGTGAGACAATAATAATAATAATGATGAAAATAGAAGTTTAGGAAACACGGGCTAAATAACAAGATATATCAAGCAAGGAAGTTTGTTTTTAATTGTTTGTCAATATGTAGTTGTTTTTCTTTCTTTTTTTCCCTTTTTGCCTTTGTTTCTTTTTCTTTTGTTTTGTATTCTATTGTCTTTGTTATGTATTGTTTTTATTTCACATATATGTATTGCATAGGGATCTATGTAATGTGTCTATTATCTTTTTTATCAATAATTTTTAAATTATTTTTTATTATAACAGGATTTAACATACATAGCTAATTAGAAGTGTTAACATAAATACTGACATCAAGGTTTTTGTTATCGTTATCTGTGGCATATCTAATTTTATGTTGTTAATTAATTTTAATCAATAAATTTTAAATAATAAAAAAAATACAATACAGTAAAAATCAATCCCAAAACCAATCCTCCCGCCCCTTAAAAAATCATTAATCATCAAATTAAAAACAGCATTTAAAATTTGGGCTGATATTATATTACCAAAGTTTTAAAAATGAATTGTACAATAATTCTAGTTAAACTACGTGGTTATAAACTTGTATTTATAGATTTATGACACTTTTAAACAAAGCCAGGATGGCATAATGGTTTGAATGTTGGACTGTGACGCTGGAGACCAGGGTTCGATTCCCAGCTCGGCCATGTAAACCCACTGGGTGGCCTTAGGTGAGTCACACTCTCTCAGCCTCAGGGGAAGGCCATGGCAAACTTCCTCTGAACAAATCTTGCCAAGAAAAACCCCATGATAGGTTCGGCTTAGGGTTGCTGTAAGTCAGAAGTGACTTGAAAGCACACAACAAAACAGACAATAACTATAAAACAAATCCAGGGTAGCAGTGTTGGCCATGTAGTAAAGTCCAATAACATCCAAAATCCACAAAACAAGGATACCTTTATAGGGCGAACCAAAATGCACAAAATACATGTTGGAAATACATGTTTATAACCATGTGCTTTAACCAGAATTATTGTACAACTGCTTTTTAAAACTTTGGTAATATAATATCATTTTTCCTAAATTTGTATTTTAAATTATTTTATGCCACCTCAAGTCTAAAGGCAGGTGAAATATAGGGTATAAATGCAATAAATAAAGCTGGAGAACTAGTGTGGCCTAGTGGCCGGAGTGCTGGACTATGACTCTGGAGATCCGGGTTCGATTCCCAGCTCTGCCATGAAACCCACTGGGAGAAGTCACACTCTCTCAGCCTCAGAGAACGGCAATGGCAAACCTCCTCTGAACAAATATTTTTTGATTATTTTGAATCTGTGGATACAGAGGGCCAACTGTATTGGAAGAGACAGAGGATTATCCGGTCTCTGCCCAACAGCTCATCGCATCGGGAAGTTCTTCGTAGCATTTACTTTTTCTCTGCATTTTGTAATGAAGGGTATATCTCCATCCTGATTGGGTAGTGACAGTCTTATTAGTCCTGTCGTCCCACTTTTACAGCTTTTCAAATGTCCCAGTTTCGCCTCCTCCTCCTCCACCTTTGTCCTCAGCCTGCATCAATTGTTGCAAACTGCTTTTGAAATGCAAGAAGGTGTTTGCACTCAGTTATTGCAGGGAGCCTTGCCCTTCCCAGGAGGCTCAGGCAAAAGCAACCTGCTTTAGCCTCTCACAGCTTGTGTTCCCCTCTATCCCCTATTTTCATCTGTGAAATGTTGGAGGGTGAAGTTGGAAAAGTATAACGTAGAATTTTTTAAAAGATAAGCAGATGTGCAAAGGTGCAGTGATCACCATGTTGGTCTTGATGTTGTTCTGTGTTTGCAAGGCTTTTCCAATGTATGGCGACGCTGCCACAGGGTTTTCTTGGCCAAATTTGTTCAGAGCTGACAGCTGGAGCATGTCCAGAAGAGGAGAACCAAAATGGTGGAGGATCTGGGAACCATGACCTATGGATTGCTGGCTATGTATACAGCCTGGAGAAGGGAAGGTTAAGAGGTGACATGGTAGCCGTGTTTAAATATTTGAAGGGATGTCATATTGAGGGGAGGAACAAGCTTGCTTTCTGCCACCCCAGAAACTAGGAACCGGAACAATGGGTGCAAGCTCCAGGAAAAGCGATTCCACCTCAACATTAGGAGGAACTTCTTGACAGTAAGAAATGTTCAAGGTGGAATAGGCTGCCTAGGAGAGTGGTGGAGTCTCCTTCTTTGGAGGTTTTTCATGAAAGGCTGCATGGCCATTTGTTGGGAATGTTTTGCTTGCATATTACTGCATGGCAGAATGGGGTTGGACTGGATGACCCTTGAGGTCTCTTCCAACTCTCTGATTCTGTGATGCTTGCACTGCTTTCCTAAGGAATCTGTAGACCAGGGGTAGGCAACCTTTCCCCTTTAAGGGCCGAGGGACTTCAACTCCCAGAATCCCTGGAGCTATTGGCCAACATGGGACTATTGGCCAACATGGCTGAGGCTTCTGGGAGCTGAAGTCCCTCAGCCCTTAAAGGGGAAAGGTTGCCTACCCCTGCTGTAGACCAACCAGTGGGTTTCCATGGCAGAGTGAGGTTTCAGACCACTAGACCAGGGGTCCCCAAACTATGGCCTGCTGGCCGAACCTGGCCCATCGAGGCCTTTGAACCAGCCTGTGGCCGGTCCTGCCGCCACGGCCGCAGGACGCCATTTTGTCTTCCAAAATGGCACCTGGCGTCTCACGCGCATGCGCACGACTCTGGGCACCATTTTGGAACACAAAATGGCACCCAAGTAGTGCGCATGTGCGCACACCTCCAGCCCTCCAACGATCTGGGGACCAGCTAACCGGCCCCCGGCTCAAAAAGTGTGGGGTCCCCTGCACTAGACCATGCAGGCCCCCTTGCATTTGTCCACCTTTAATGTACCCAGATGCCCCTCTGAATTTTAAAATAATCCAAACCACTGGAGCTTTGTTAACGTCACCCACAGTCAGTTGGATTATCAATGGTTCAATTGGTGCTACTGCACAACACGACCGGCGAGGAGACAAATGACTTTGTACAATAGTTATGGGTTATATTTAATTTTGGCTGATACCACATTGTAGAATAAATGCAATATGACACCACTTATAACTGTTAGGCCTCCATCCTATGGCATCCTGGGATCTGTAGTTTGTTGCGGCGTGAGAGCTGACAGAGAAAGCTAAGCATCTCACAAAACTACAAATCCAAGCATTCCATAGCATTGAGCCATGCTATGTTACTATTAAGGCAGTGTCAAAAGACATTTAATTCTTCAGCGTAGATGCAACCCTTGTTATAATAATAATAATAATAA